TCCCAGAATCTTGCCATTAGTCCCTATAAGTGGCTGTCACACATCACTTTTAGTTTTTGGTTCTATTCCACACATCGATGCGTGGTGGCTATCTGTTAAAGATTTTCACTCTAATCTTCTCCTCTTGTCTTCATGCTGGAAACGTTCAACAAGATAGTTTGGTACTTTTATTGGGTTTTGTTCTGGATTTTCAAGATGGCAACTCTGTGCCAAAGAAAAAGTTAGTGCTAGTGGTTGATGTGATTCATTTGATAACAAAAGGTCACAAAGCATAAGCTTAATAGTTTCAATTATTTGAATTAGAGCAAAACTATTTGGGTTTATTTAAAAAGCATCGATAAGGACGATTGTATTACTAATGATCCTCATACTGGTAATACAAGGCATACCTAGATGATGGAAGAGGCACAATTGTTCTTGTAGATTCAAAATTTCATTAACGATGAGATTATTAGCCTGATTAATCATTCTGAGTTTGTTAAAGAGTTTATGGATTATTTAGCCTTTTTATATTTGGTAAAAGGAATAACTATCATATTAATGAGGTATGTAAAGCATTTTATTGAGCAGAAAACAAGATAGGTCTCTCACATTTTATTTTGTGGATTTTTAAAGAATTTATGATGAGCTTAATGTTCTATTGCCTTTTAGTCTTGATGTGAAAGTTCCGCAGGCTCAACAAGAGCAAATGGTAGTTATGAGTTTTCTTGCAAGTCTCTCTTCGGAGCTTGAGACTGTCAAATCTCAGATTGTTTGTGGTTTTGAGATCTCTTCCATGCATGACACCTTTACAAGAGCACTTTAAATAGAAAGTTCTAGCTCCACGTTGGCTCAAACTAATAATAGTGCTCTTGTAAGTTGTCAGAATAATAAGAGTGGTAACAGAAGAGGGGAAACGAAAATTGTAATTGAGATGTTGATAGTTGTAATTAGGAGTCAAGAGGAATTACGTGCTATTATTGTCATGAGCAAGGTACTATAAAGCGTTTTTGTAGGAAACTCCAAAATAAGTCTCAATGAGGTTAGTTAGCAAATGTTACAATGTGGTTCAATTTTTTACCCACGCAAGTATATGTATCGCAAAGATAATATAATGATGAGTAAAGTATTGATCCCACAAGAAATTAAATTAATTCTTACTATTAATTACTAAAATTACACATCCTAATTTTATCCAAACACCAAAAATTGAATTAAAAAGCAAAACTTAAAATCTAAAACTACTCTAAATTTACTTAGCAAAATTACTTTTCTAAACTTGATTGACTTTTAGTCTTAAAATTATGATGTCCCTCAATATTTCATCCGCATATTATCTCTCTCTCTTAACTTAGTTTAATGGATTAAGTTTCTAATCTAGAGTTTTAAATTATTTACAAGTCTTTGTCGAGTTTTTTATAAAAATATCTCTTCTAATTAATTTACTATATGTCTATACAAATTAAATTAAAGACAGATTCATTAAGTTTGTGCTTTCATATTGCCTAAGGATTTGCTGCATACTGTTCTTCTGTTTCATATGTGAAGGAACTTGACCAAATTTTGTCAAGGTTAGTTGTTGCTTCTTGAATCTCTTACCAAATCTGTAGTCATCGAAGTAACTAGGAAGAATAAGAGAAGTTATAGATTTATTTCATGTAGGAGATTGTGTCTTGATTATCTGATTCCTTTTGCATGGTTTCCATCTCTCTTTCTATTTTTTCTACTAAGATCTGCTAAGATTTTGTTGGATTTCATTTTTTGAGTTTTGAAATTTTTGAACCCACTGTGCAATTTGGTTGTTTGATTGGTATGGCGGTAGGGCAAGTTGATTTTCTGAAGAGAAGTGGTGTTGGGAAGTTAAATCGAGGTCTTGCTCATGTTATTTCGATAAGAGTGGTGTTAAGAAATGGTTTTCCTTTCTGGCTTTTGAACATTTTTCCCATTTCCATCTACTCTATCTCTCAGCATTCCATCATCTTTCTCCACATCATCATTCGCAATTTTTTAAAGCCATTAGGAAGATAGTGACGAGTCTTCTTGTCTGAACCATATACCAATGTTGGGCATCAAAGTGCATCCCTCGAACTTTTTTCTTACACTAAAATCAATACCTTTTGGTCTACGCCAATTTGTCTTGATGCAGTTTTGCGGTTGCTCTGGGGTTTCTCGAACTTCTTGACCCTTTTCTTCACGATATTCTTACTTAGAGGCTACACCACCGTTCCTTCTTATCCATCTTCTTCTTCTTACCTCTGAGAAATTATGGGTTTGGGATGGTTGGGGCCACCTTTTGAATCTTCCTAATTCCTATCTTCTTTTAAGACAAGCTTTTGATGTTTTGTTCTTCAACTTAACGAGTTGAAAATCACCAATTGGCTAGCATGCATTTGTTGACTTGAACATTTTTTATTAAGAATCAAAGAGAGTGGGTGAGACTTTAAAAACATGTAAAACTACTAGAAAAGACCCACTTTTTTAATGCACTAAATTATGATGCTTTTAGCTTTGCCCTTACTCAATAACAAATGTTTTGCTTCTCTTCAATTTTTGTTTTAACACCAAAATACTAGTAGTATCCAAATCCAAAAGTCACTTTTCAAGCAACCTCAACTCTTTTTCTGCCACTGATGAGCAGAGGGTTTGCAAAGCCTCCAAAACAGAATAAGGAAGGGATCCTTGAAAGCTGAATCCTTGACGTCCTCACATTTATTTTATTGAACTTATCCTTAATCACATTATTATTTAATTTGAATTTTTTGTTCTTATCTCTATAACACCCTATACCTTCGTACATGAGACAATAAGACCGTATTGACAAGTTGAAGGGTCAATTGACATAAATTTAAGTACTAAAGAGCGGTGATAGGTCAAGGAATATTTAAAATAAAATATTTCATACTGGAGAGAATAATAATTAAATAATAATATTATTAACGAGAATGAATTAGCAGGTTAAAAGGTGATTTGGTAGTGAACTGGAACAAAGTGAGATACTTTGGACCTAAGGAGATAAGTGAAGAATTTTGAAATAAAATAATATTTTATTAATAAAATAATATTAAAATATTAATATTTATTTGTTATTGGAATTAGTCATGAAAGAGGATTATGTGACTAATCTAAGTAAGGGAGGAGAAGTAAGAAAGGATTTTGAAGAAAAATGACGTTAGTGGGGCCCAGTGCCTTTATTAAATAAAGCTAGCGCGGGTAAGTATATTTTAAATATTATGGTGATACCTTGGTGAAGTGTAAATTTTATATTTTGTTTGTACACATGTAAGGGGAGGAAAATAGAAGGAAATTGGAATTTAAAAAGTGTTGGAAGGACCAAATTGTGGAGGATGAAAAGTTTGGAGGTCACATGGTAAATAAGGAAAAGTTAGAAGACTTATGTGCAATTTTAAAATTTAAAGTTAAATAGGTATTTACTAACCAAGGAAAGTTAAATTACGTGGAATGTGAGATATACATGTGAAAGTCACTATTCCATGCAAACTATGGTGTGCAAAAAGGAAAAGTTAGTGAGAGACATGTAGGACCCCCACCATGTGAAGTAAAAGAAAAAATAAGATTAAAATTTATTTACATATAATGTGATTAGTGCATTAGGTAGTCAAATGAAGAAAGAAGAAAGTGGGTTGCATGTGACTTAAATGGGACAAGAGTGAGTAAATAAAATATAAAGTGAATATGGGACATGGAATAAAGAAATCAAGAAAAAAGGATGGAAAGACAAAGGTGGCGGGTGGAAAGATTTCAAAGGCTTTTTGCTTTGTAAATTTACCACATAAAATAAAAAGAGAAATGTCAAAAAAAGTCGCCAAGCTGTGGGCAATCCGCCCATGAAAGAAAAGAAAATAATCTAAAAAGAGAGTAACCTTGGGCAATCCGCCCATGTGTGAACAAAATGAGGAAAACAAAGCCATTTTTAAGGCTTTTGCCTTAAGGGGTTTGCCCATAATAAAGTGAGAAAAGAAAGGAGAAGGAAAGAAAGGAAGAAAGGAAGAAAGGAGGAAGAAGAGAAAGGAAAGAAAGGTTCGGCCTAGTGAACCCCAAGACAAAGAAGACTTGTCATGTTGCTTGAAATGCATACTTTGTAAATCAATTGTGATGTGAGATTTTGTTTGTGGTAGCAAGGATCTACAAAGATTCAAAGAACCCGAGGTATGCATGTAAGTAGATCTTGGAATGTATGGTGATTTTGGAGCTAAATAAGCAATGGGTAAGAGTTTTAGTCTTGAAATCATAAGTAGAAAGGAAAAATGAGATGTATATTGATTGTCTATGTTTGTGGCAGCAATGGTGACCATAGATGTGAGGAAGTTGTGAATCATATTTGGAAATTCAAGCTTGAACCAATGGGTAAGCATGCAAAGTGACTACAATAAGCTTTGGTTGGTTAAAGTGTATGGGTTGTGTGATAAATGCTTGTGAGTAACATTGTTAAAAACTATTAGATTTAGTTAAGGATTTTTAGTTGATATGCTACCATTTATAAGTATAATGAAATGTATTGGGTTTGAATGGTTGCTAGGAAGAGTATAAATAAGAAAGTTTGCCGTGATGGCGTGATGAATGAGATAATGAGAGACCGGTAAGTAAAAATTAGTTAGATACGCAATCGAATCAATAGCGACGTAGCATCCCGCTATTGCACGGTGAGTAGGGGGTGTCTATTTTAAAATTTCCATAACTATGTAAATATATTAATATATATGTTGATTTACTTAAATACAAATATGTGGAAAACATAAACTGGTAGAGATGCTAGGAAATTGTGGATGCTAAGATTTTGAAAATGGCTTTGAATATATATATATATATACATATAAAAGCTATATATCTAAAGGGTTTTTTAAAACAGGGAAACAAGATTTTTAGTATGATTTATGTTAAAATGTGCCTTATAGTTTGTGTGATTTACATTTCCACCATGCGGATTAATCTTTTAACCTCACGCAAAGGTTTTATGATATAAAGTCTTATAAGAAATTTTATCATGGTACCATGTTGAATATTTCGAAAATGACTTTTGAAATGGATTTTTGAGAACCTAAACTGATTTTCAAATAGTTTTACCAAACCTAGAGATTCAAGAGTAGGTCGAATGTTACATTGGGATAGTGTGACCGTTGTGCACAAGTGAGTTTTAGCTAGAGAACCTTTGAGTCGCCGATGGACTATTAGACATGGCTGAGGCCATAGTTTGTGATCTATACGTGGCAAGGCCATGGGTTGATATATGTGGCTAGGCCATAAGTGATATACATGGTTACGACTGCCTGATTTCTCTAACGTCGGCTAACATCGTTAAGGCTTCCATGGTTATGGGGATCTGGTGGAGCGGAGCTCTTGGATATTATTATGTGGAAGCGGGTACGCGAGTTCTTTATTTTTATTACTTACTTGAGAGTGATATCTCTTCGCGTTTTCAATACATGTTCTTTCGCATGGTGAGAACTATATGACTTTCCGTAGCTCCCTTATTTTTACTATGATGTTGGATTTAACTCCTTGCATATAAGGTGATTTGTGAAATTGTGTATAAGCTTTGATAACTTTTGATTTTATGGGAGCATGCGTGTTTATGATGAACTGGTTTGAGTAAAGTTGTTGAATGAATTCAAAGATGGAAAATCTTGTACTTATACTGATTTGTTTTAAATAAGTTGTTAAATGATTTCGACGATAGAGATCTTAACTTGTATTGATTCAATATTTGATTTAAATGATTATCTTGAAATAACCTTTTGATTTTACATATAAGGCACAAACCTCCCTTTTGAGCTATTTTGTTTACATATACTCTTATATTTTTAATATTCAAAACTTCTACCTTGGCTTGTTTTCCATCTATGCCCTACTCACGGAGTTCATGATCACTAAGTCTGTGAGACTCACCCCCTTTTTTCCTTTTGCAGATAAGTAACCAGTTCAAGAATATTGTCATAGCAAACCTTGATTCACTATGATGTAAGTAATGACATCTCTTAGACTTCCACTTCGAGTCGCTCCGCTGCATAGAGGTCGTGTTATGTCAAATAGTCAGACTTATAAAAATTAATAGTCTATTGGAAATGTATTTGCTAAAACTTGAGGTTGTGTAATGAATACCACATGGGATGTTGAAATTACTTTGGAGTTATTAAACCTGGTTATAGGAATCTAGATGTTATGCTTTAAATATTGTGTTTATTTGGTTTAAGTAAATGATAGCATTAATATTGAAGTCAATTTTAAATTGTCCGGAATATCAATTAAGGCTTGTTTGGGATTTGGTAGGTTCACTTGCAAGTCTCGGACATTGGTAACGATTAGGGGAAGAGGTCGTTACAATCTTAACATGAAATTCTCAACCCATGCATCCACATGAATTGCAACTATACCAACATATTAAAAATTCATTGTGTGTATATCTACACATGACTTAATAATCTATTAAAATATATTTAATTGACCCTGTTGTTTAATTACCATACATTTGTTTAAACTTCATGATTTTTGCTGAAGATTTACTATATATATCATAATGAAAGTAGTATAAATTTTACCCTAGAAAAAAGACTACTGCTTGAACAAGTTATTAGTATAAAACTTTATAATTTCATTTTTACCAATTAGAGTGGAAAAGGGATATTTAAATTAGAATAGAAACATAGAGCTCCCTTCACTCTTGGCTTTCCTATCCATATTACCTTTTCCCTCTTATCATGGATCCTTACAAGGTACCGAGCACCAAGTGCTTTTATTTTAAGCTTCAATTTCTACTCTAGTTTCATTTTTTTTGAAACAGTAGCTGTCGATACATCTTTTATTTAAGCAAGTCCGCTAAGATATAATTATTTACCACATTAGAATAATTATGGCACTGTAACAGACTATAGAGCTTCATGTTTCCAAAATATACTGCATTATCAATTTCCCTACTTTTAAAAGCTATAGCAATTATACTACATGCCAATCAAAATTTCAGTGGTCTACTATTGCTTATGCTTTTATCAGCAGAAATATCCTTCTACTGATGTAATACCAAAATTTTAGTTACCTGCAGCTCTTAAGTCATCCCTTAAATCAAATCATTAGATAAAACGTTAGCGCTTGAGTTGTCTCCAAGCCAAAGTAAAGGCTCTCTTAAGGATATAGACTTGGTAGCTCACCTGAACCATTTCCCCATCATGCATCATAGACATTGTCTTTAGCTGAAATTGTGAACCATCCTTGGTCTCATCTTCCAATTTATCTAAACTGATATCACCCGAGGTAGGTATAGAAGAAGAGGGTGGCTTATCACAAGTAGAATCATGGGTATTATTAACTTTACCACCATCATTGCCATACTCAAGGGGTTTCACAGTTTGGGTAGTTCCAGAACCACCCTCATTCACGTTACTCTCAGTAACGAACTTAGCTTGAGAAAATTCTAGTGCAGCAGGTTCTTGATTTTGGGTGGTATAAGTATTAGGTGATTCCTATCTTATTCATAATTTAACTAACTTTGGTCTATTAAAAATAAAATTGATAGTTGCACTATTCTCAGGGGGTTTCACAGTTTAGGTAGTTTCTAAACCACCTTCGATCACACTACACTTGAAAACCAACTTGGCTTGAGAAGGTTCTTGTGCAACAACATCTCATTTTTGAGTAGTGTAAGTATTAGGTGCTTCCCATCCTATTCTTGAAGTAACCAACTTGGACTTATTAGAAACATAATTAATAGCTGTATTAACCTCTACTCTAAGAATAGTAGTAGGAACCACCTGAGCTTCTGAAGAAGCAACATTGCTCCTCACAATCCTAGAATCTTTGCCATCATCATTCAGATGTGAAATCTTCCTATCATTCTTAAGAAGAATGGTGGACTCTCTTTTAACTGGTGGTTATCTATTCTATTGTCTTACTTGGTTTGCAATCACCACTCCAGCATCTTCTCCCTTAAAGGTTTTGATTTGAGATGGGTCAGTGTTCATAGAGGATGGTGTTTTAACATCACCATCAATCTTATCATTCTGAGTAATTGGAGGGTTTATGCTTGTCTTGAGCCCTCCATGAAACTTTGTTAAGTTTTCTAGTGCATGTTGTCTTAAAATTGATTCCATATCATCACCATTTAAACCATTAGTGGCACTTGAAACCTTATTGTTTTCCCTTAAGTCATTAGTTTGTCCAACCCCATCATACCTAGAATTACATCAACTCAACCAAAAGAAAAAGTAATGCTTGTTGATTGCTGGATTTGGTCATCGTTTGTTTTAGTGTGACCTTTTAATTATTTACTAGTAAGCTTTACAAAAGCATGTTAATGGTTGAAACTCTATATTAAATTCAGAAAGATATCTCACTTGCTGTAAGGAATGAATAACTTAGCCACATGATATTTTAAGTTTCTTCCACTTTCCTATGTTTCCTTAGCTACCAAGTAGAGTATTTGTCTTCTCCAAGTTGTGTCAATTCACTTTCTTTTTCTTATCCTGTCTTGCTTGCATTTACATGTAGTTTTTCCTCTAGTTTTGGTTTTAAGCTCTTTTAGAGTTTTGGTCATCTAACTCTTACATTCTCTTCTGATAAAATTAATGCCACCATTTATATTGTAGAATCTTTAATTAGTTTGCCTGCATCTATTTATTTTTCTCCTTATTCGAGCTGTTTTTAATGCAGTATTGTCCCTCAAGTGCATTTTAATCTCCATTCTGGACCACCAATTCTTAGGCTCTAGTTTATAACAACAACTCATCACACATTGTTGGGGTAAGAGGTAATCATATAATTCTCAGTGTGTCTAAATCACGTTCATTCATGGTAGTAGTTTCATTGAACTATGGTAGCATTAATAAATGCACAGATTCATTCAACTTGTTGGTTAACAATGGTGTAGCCGCTAGTCAACTTGTGAATATCCATTCATTGAAATATTCCATAGTCTGGAACAAGTATCATCATGCTAAAACAAGCTATTTTCTTCTTCTTTTCATTCTCCTAAACTGTGAGTACTTTGCTTACTTGATTCCTTATTGTCTAGATAACTTTTATACATAACAAGATTGTGGTGAAGCAATTAGCAATTTCCATGAAAATATGAAGTCCAACATAAAAAATATTGCTTTATTTCCTCATGTAAATCTCTTGTAGGATAAAGCTAGAGAAGTTTGCTAGTTAAATCACTTTCTTGGCTTTTCTTCTCTCATCTCTGCATCTTTTATTGTTATTGTCAACATCTTCCAACATTCTCTGTCACTGTCACTCAGCATAGGTATGTTTACCCCCTACCCTATTATTTTTGATTCCCATAATTAGTAAGAATTTATTGCTTATTTGCCTTCTTAATTTGCTGGAGTCTTTTATTATTATTATTATTATTATTATTATTAATTCTTTTGCTTTTGTGGTTGTGTAGATTGAATAATGATACGGTATTTCCTTCTTTATTGTGCTTTTCACACATAAGAAAAGAACAACAACATTACAATCAAATCTAAAATCCACAACCAAACCTAATTGATCACAACCACTTGAATTAACTTTAGCATAATTGGATTTCATATCAAATTAACTACTTTATACAATTTCCAATCGATTCATGCCCCTTTTAGCCATGATCGAAGAGATGTAATAGAGCCAAAGGTATTGTCTCAATGATAAGTTGGAAGAGTTGAGACTTTTAAGTTTCATATTCATATTTTATCATAAATGAATTTAATTTAACTTTATATTAATTTACTTTTATTTTTTTACTAGTTTCTTCAGTGGATATACTATTTGACATATAATGAAAAGTTATTTGAATTGTGTTAGTTAAATTTGATACAGCACATAACAATAAGCAAATCCCCTTGCAAAATCATGTATAATTAGAAGAGAATGAATTATTTAAAGTGGGCAAGTCATGACATTAATTGGTCACTTCCCTTAAAACTACTTTAAATTGAAGAAGATATAAATCAAATAAAATATGAAAGAATTAAAAATTATATATATAATTTTCAAAAAATTTATTGTTTACTTTTTTTTTGGAAATTTACTATTAACTTTTGTATCTAAATATTTTTTATTTTTTTAGAATAAATAATAAAAATATCAAAAGTTCTTACTTTAAAAAAAGTAGCAATTCCTTTCTAATTTCTTTTTCATTTTTTATCATAAAAAAGTAACCATGACTTGGGGTCCAATTCATAGTGCTTATTTTTTATCCAAAAGGAAAAGCAAAAGAGTATTGGCCATATGTTTCCCTCTGCAAGTATAAGTTTTTTAGATTACCTCTGTTTATATGTGAATGCTTTTCATAAAGTAGGTTTCTGGGCATTTTGTACAATAAATGGGTTTATACCTGATTATTGTTCATTTCATTTGTTAGTCACTTGGTTTTATAAGATTTTGTACTCATGAATACATAGAAAAGCTGGTGAATATGAATTTAGCTACTCATTTATAAAGTTAAACTTATATAGTGTTCTATTCTTTTTTGTTTTTATTCTTGTATGGAATCATTTTTACTATCTTGACATATTATTTTATTAAATTTATATTTAAAATGTTTAACTTAGTTTTTCATAATGGAATGTAGTTAACAATTTTTATTGTAAACAAGAATGGAAATTACTTTTAACTGTTATATTCTATGACATTTAGGATTACAAAATGACGGGAGATAGATCTTGGATGTACCACTGCTTAACTTGTGATGGATTCATTAGAGATGAATTTATAAATGGAGTTAACAAATTCATTAATTTTGCACATTCTAACTATAAATTTAATGGAGAATAAGATTAGATGCTCTTGCTCTCGATGTAGTAAAAACAAGTTTCTAAATTCCGATAAGGTGATAGAGCACATCCTTAAAAAGGGTTTTACTGGTGCTAACACAATTTAGAGTTTACATGGGGAACATGATGTTGGCCAATCATTAACAAGTAGAGATAGAGTTGAACCATATGCTAGTAATGGGGAACACAAGAAATATGGAGAACCTACATATGAAGAGGAAATAGAAAATCCATATGCTAGAATGGTTAGGGATGCTATGGGTCCGGAAGTTGCTTTCACTTATAGTCATGATAAGGAGTCAAGGTTTGTGGAAGAAGATCCAAATCCAAATGCAGCTAGCTTTTACTCTTTGTTAAGTAATGCAACGGAACCTTTGTGGTTAGGTTGCACAAAGGACACAATGCTTTTAGCTATGTCGTAACTTTTAAATGTTAAGTCAGAGTTTAATTTGAGTGAATCATGTTTTGATTGGCTGTTGGAGATAATAAAGAATATGTTGCCATCAGATGAAACTTTACCTACTGACTTTTATAGAATGAAAAAAAGGTAGCAAACCTTGGACAGGGCTACATCAAAATTCATGCTTGCAAAAAAAATGCATCTTATTTTATGAGGAAACTACTAATTTGGAGCATTGTATGGTATGTGGGCATCCTCAAAATAAACTGAGGAAATCAAATGTGAAAAGACAGAAGAAAATACTTTACAAGATTTTGTGTTACTTGCCACTTATACCAAAGCTTCAAAGGCTTTATATGTTAGGCAAAACTGCTAAACATATTACATGGCATGCGTAAAACAAAACTGATGATGGATTCGTCAGACACCCTATTGATGGTGAGGCTTGGCAACACTTCAACTGCACACATGAGTTATTTGCAATGGAACCTCGAAATGTCAGACTAGGGTTATATGCTAACGGTTTCAATCTTTTTGTACCGATTGTGAAACCTTATTCTGTTTGGCCAGCAATGCTGTGTGTACAATTTACCCTAATGGATGTGTATGAAACAACAGTATATATTTCTTAATATGGTCATTCCGGGGAAGAAAAATCCAAGTCAAAATATAGATGTTTTATTAAGGCCTTTGATAGATGAGTTAAAAGTATTGTGGATCGAAGGTGTTGTCACATATGATGCATATAGGAAACAAAATTTTCATCTAGGGGCAGCATTATTATGGATAATTAATGATTTTCTCGCTTACGGTATGTTGTCAGGGTGGAGTACTCGTGGATGATTATCATGTCCCTATTGCATGAAACGTTCTAAGTCTTTCACATTGGATCATGGTAGGAAACCTTGTTTTTTTTTATTGTCATCGGTAATTCTTATGACCTAATCACCCTTTTAGGAGGTAAAGAGACAAATTTATTGAAAAAAGAGTTGAGCATGACTTACCATTTACTCGATTATTCAGTGAAGAAATATTGTCACGTTGGAATTCGCTTCCTTGTATCCCATTCAGAACAAAATGTGGTGAGTAGAAAATTTCAGGTTATGGTATAAGTCACAATTAGGTGAAAAAAGTATATTTTGGGATCTACCTTATTGGCATACACTTTTTATTCGTCACAATCTAAATGTGATGCATACTGAATGTAATATATTTGAGAATATATTCAACACAATGATGGATGCTAAGGGAAAGATGAAAGACAACTTAAAGCCACGACAAGATTTATAGGTGTATTGCAAGTGGCCGGAATTGGAATTGATGGAAAATAATGGAAAAATTTTTAAGACTAAGGTTTCATACACCTTAAATAAGAAGGAAATAAAAAATGTTTGTGCTTGGGTGAAATAATTGAGATTACTTGATGGCTTTACGGCGAACATATCTCAGTGTGTTAATGAGATTGATTGCAAATTTTATGAGATAAAAAGTCATCATTGTCATGTTTTTTTGCAACGATTGCTCCCAATTGTCTTTCGTGATATGGTGCCTTACACAATTTGGGATGCGATTACTGAGATATCTCACTTTTTTAAAAATTTATGCATAACTAAAATACCTGTAGATCATATGAAAGCTTGGAAGGTAAAATATGTGAAACTATATGCAAACTAGAGAAGATCTTTCCTCCCAGTTTCTTTGACTCTATGGAGCATTTGCCTATTCATTTACCTTACAAGGCAAAGGTTGGTGCACCTATCCAGTATCGATGGATGTATCCATTTGAGAGGTACAATAATTGTTTTTCAAATAGTTTATTACAAGAGTTTAAGGTACTTATTAAGTTTGATGAATATTGTGATTTTTAGGTTTTTACAACATTTGAAGAAGAAAGCAAAAAATCGAGCCTTTATTGAAGGATCTATATGTGAGGCTTATATGATCAAGGAAATTTCCTCATTTTGCTCATGGTATTTTGAACCTACTGTGCAAACTAGATTAAATCAAGTGCCACGTAATGATGATGGGGGAAACGTGGACTCTCTTGGTCATCTTTCAAGTTTCACTCTTCTTAGGCGAGCTTTTGGTCCATTAGATAAATCTCGATTTTTAGACGATGATGAGTTTTATGTTGCTGAGCTATATGTTTTAATGAATTGTGAAGAGATGCTCCCATATATTAAGTACCATCCTACCATAAACTCAAATGATTGATCATAAGAATGAACTTAATTCATAAATTGTGGATATGATGAGAGGATATTTGATAAAATGGTGAAGAAAGATGTTGTGCATATATTAGAAGATGAATTGGAGAAAGTACATGATGCAAGATTCATGAAATTGTTTAGAAATTATGTAAGTTTATGTAAATTAGAAGTGAACTTTTATTAACATTGAGGCATTAATTATGTAATTAATAATTTTTGGTCTTGTATTTCATTTTCGAAGGTTGCAAAACGTAAGGATGAAATTGACCCATGTATACTTGAAATCTCTTATGGTCAAGGACATATGATAAGGTGTTACAAAGGATACTTTATAAATGGTTTCAAGTTTCACACCTTAGATTACAGACAAAATCGTAAGATAATGAATAGTGGGGTCTACATAAAAGGGAGTTTTGACAATGATTATGAGCATGACGTTTATGGTATTTTAGTGGATATAATTGAGTTGGAGTATTTTGGTATCGAAAACAGAGTTGTGCTATTTAAGTGTCATTGGTTTGACATTGAAAGATATTAAGGTAGATCTTTTGCATGGTCTTGTTGAAATTAAACATAACCCAATACTTGCCACTAATGAACCATTTGTTTTAGCAACACATGCTCACCAAGTTTATTATAGTAGTTATCCATCAACCAAAAGAGATCGACGTGATTGGTGGGCAGTATTTAAAACAAAAACTAGGAGTAGATTTCATATTCCTAGTAGTGGAGATAGAGAAAATGAAATTGATTTGAATGAAGAAGTATACCAAGAAAATGTGTCTATTTCAATTAACGGTACTCCATTAGATGAACTTGATAACTTTACAGTTTTAGCAAGTGGTGATTATGAAGAGGTTAATCTCTTGATTGAGGATGAAGAAGATGACATGCAAAGAGATGAAGATGAAGAAAATGACATGGAATGAGATGAAAATGAAAATGAAAATGAAGATGAAAACGAAGTTGAAGATGAAGACAAATAAACATTTAGTGATGATAGTGATAATAATGAAGAACATGAGTTTGCTTATTCTAAAAGTGATTGATGATGGTAAACATATATGATATTGGTTTTATATTTTTTGTTACATAGTTGTTTAACTTTAATTTTATAATGTTAAGATCTTGACATGTTATAAAATTATTATAGTTTATATTTATAAATGTTGAAATGAATACTTTATAATGACATCTTTTATTATACAAATGATTAGGAATGACTTTTTATTGTTGTAAATTGATAATTTTTATACTTTGTTTCAATTTTTTTAAAAAAAATTTGTGTATGAATTTTAATAAAAAAAATATTACAAGAACGATGGTTAAAGGGAAGCATTCAAAACTGAGACTTAGATCAACAAATGCCTCTGGAATTATGTCGTTGCCTACAAATGCTAGTGCGTTTGCTGATCTATCCATTCAACCACAAATGTAGGAGGTCAATAATGATGTGCCATCTGAACCACCTTCTTTGTTGGGTGCATCTGCAGAGCAAGTAGAAAATGAGACATATACCCATGATTCTCATAGATCCCCATCTATTGATTTAGGTGCAAGTGTAGATGATACATCCTCAAGGTCAAGGGGAAGGGGACCTAGTGTAGGATTACAGACTCTTGTAGATCCATCAAACAAATTGCATATAACTCCCATTGAAGGGACATATGTTATCTTGTATTATAATGAAATAGTTATATTTGTTATATATTTTAATATGTAATATTTTTCTTTTATCTTGTACAAGTACTTTTTTCGAGTGAGGGGTCACAGTTACAATAACAAGGATCATAAAAAATCACTTTCATGATCCATGGTCAACATGGAAGATAGTTCCTAATGACATAAAGGAATTAATATTTCAAAAATTTCAAGTACTATGTTTGATATTCAATTAAATTATAACTTTTTGTTTTTAATTAATTTGTATAAATTTGTTTAGTTACTTTATAAATTTGTATATTAATTTTAGTTCCATTTGTTGTTCATGCTAAAAGGATGGTATGGATTAATTTTACTTCGCATTTATATGTATGGTTTTCTTTTAAACTAAATTTAAATTGTATGTTTAGTAGTTTGACTTTGGTTTTTCCTTACATGTTATTTATATATATCGATTATGATTGCATATATATAGTTGTAAATAAATGCAGACAATTAAGATGAAACAAGATGTTAGCTTTTTAGAAGTGTTCAATCGCACCCATAAGCGTTTAGCTGGTCATAGTGATTTTATAGATAACAAGTCTAAATCTACGAGTGTATGTACAAAATTAATTATTTTTTACTTCAAAGTTGACGATATAATTGAATACTAATCTTATTTAATTTTTTATATAAGAAATGTATAATTCTTTATTATCACAGAAGTATGGTGAAAATTCATCTTCTCAGCCAGAATTCGATCCGCATGCTTGGACTGAAGCAATTGGAGGGATGGAGACTACATGCGCTCATGTGCATGGGTTTGGTACTTGGGTGCTTGTTACAACTCTACTTAATGGAACACATTGCAATGTGACAACATCTGAGTCAGCATGTGGCCCTATCAACTCAAACGCTACCAATCCCTCAATTGCATTGGAAAAAAAAGTGAAAAATCTATCAGAAAACTTGGGTAAGATATGTGAGAAAATCCGTGGGGAAATACATGAAGAAATTAAGAATGCAATGGTGCAAAGCATGAGTGAATTTATGTCACGTATGGAAACCATGATCCTAACTAATGCGCTCTCAAAACAAGGAAATGCGAGTACTTCAAGCTCAAATCTTGACAAGTAAAACACAACATTTCATGATATGATGTCTTTTTTTCACTGCTAGACTTGGATACTTTTTAGTATAGGTGTTTAATAATAAATTTAGCTTTATATTCATATGTGTTTGATATTTTTAGTTATTATATATTTATGACAATTTTTAATTGTATGGACTTGACTTTGAAATTTAGTTTTTAATCTGTTTCTCTTATATATTTTGAAGGTCAATTGTGGATGCCAATTGATAATTTATTATCGAAATTTTAATTGGTAATTTTTGTTGGAAAAGCATTGCTAACAGGACATGCAATTGAAAATTAATAAAAGAATTTCAGATGGAAATACATCACCAATGAAAAATTCCGTTGGAAATTTTTAACGAAATTCAGTTGGAAATGCCTTCTAAACAAAAAAGTCCATTGGAAATTTCCAATGGAATTCTCCATTGGGAATGCTTTTCCAACAAAATTTTTCATCAAGAAAGAATTTCGATAGAATTTCTGTTGGAAATTTCCGAACGAAAATCTATTGGAAATTTATTTCCTACAGAATTATTTTCAGTGAAATTTTTCGTAGGTAATGTTTTTCCAACAAAAAATTCCACTAGAAATTCCCAACGGAATTCTGTTTGAAAATAATTTTCCGTGAAATTCCATTGAAAATTCTTTTCCAACGGAATTACTATAGGATAGTCAATAGATTATGCATTTTTTTCAACAGAATTTTTCATTGGAAATTTCTAACAAATTTCCAATGAGGGCTTTACTGATGGAATTTCCAATGGATATTTTCGTTGAAAATTCGTCCGAAAAAAGTATTGCCAACGGAATTTTAATTTTTTCTAACGAAAAATTTCGTTAGAAAAGCTTGTTTTTTGGTAGTGATTATATTTAAATTTAATTTGTTTAAATTTAAATAAAAATTAATTACATTTAAATTTAGTTTGTTTAAATTTAAAAGTAATATACTTTCTCTATATCCCTAAATACGTCTATAAATAATGAACAAACGTATTGGTTTCTACAAATAACAAAGAGTGAATGTGAGTTGTTCTGTAAGTCATAAAAACAAAAAACTTTTCTTTCTTTTTTCTTTATTCTTGAGGCACCATTAAAGGCTAGACGGTTTGAAACATGTACTTCCTTGTGGAGGATTTAGTAACCACTCCATAACAACGAGAGTGAAGAAATCATTGTGTGCGTGAAGGAGAATTTGTAAAACAAGCTTCTTCGATCAGAAAGGGAGTGGAATATTTATTCGAAAAAGTAAGTTCACCTCCTAATAGTGGTATCAGAGCAGGTTTTGGCTCACTTTCATCATTTTAATTTATGTATATTTTAAAAGCTTGTTTTGATCATAATTTTATTTAATTTAAATTATTGGTACTGATTTATTATGTATATATTTGTGATAGTTGTTGAAATTGATATGAGGAACAAGTAGGCTTTAATCGTGTGCAAACAGGTGCATTGAACTAAGGTCACATGGTGCCTTATAGATGGTAGCAAAAACAAAAAAATAAAAAGATTAATGAAAAAGGAAAATGCAACTAGTAGGATTTGAACCTACACTAACAAAGTCGTTGAGAATTTTAAAAATTATCTTTTAACCACTACACTAAGAGCCTAATGTGCCTTAAAATGGAAGTACGACAACTAATAAAGACCAAAAGGGTTCGAACACAGTCATAAAGAGCCTAAGGTGGCAGCCACATGGCACAAATGGATATATTTTTCTTAATTGCATTTTGACTCCACAAGTTTCTATTTTTACAAAATGACATTAAAATTTTTTGATAATTAAACTTTCATAAAAAAATCAGAATATTATTTATGTTTTTAGCATGTTACTATTAAATTCACATGCATTATAAATATAGTTAATTAATGTGTTGATTAACCACATTGTTTTTCTTACATGTTGTGTATTAGAAATTTTTTTTTGTAAAACATATATATGGTTTGAGTAAATTTAGCAAATGTTTGTTAATTCAATTATTTTACATATATTGTGAAATGCTATGTGCCATATAAGTATATTTTGTATGGTTTAGGTAAAATTTATAAAATGCATGATGTAATTATTTTACTTATTTGTTAGGTAAAATTTATATTATGAATGATGTAATTTATTTTACTTATTTGTTAGGTAAAATTTATAAATCACATAATGTAATTATTTTACTTATTTGTTTGGTAAAATCTATAAAATGCATTATGTAATTATTTTAACTTATTTGTTAAGTAAAATGGTACGCAAAAAGACAATACGATGATTATATGTCTTAGTAGCTTTGTTAAAGGAGACTAGGCTTTAAGAGAGATCGTTTGTGACTTCTCTAGCCTTTTTTGAAAATTATTGTAGAAGTAAAGTG